CCCATCCATCCATCCAAATGTCCTTCAGTACCTCCTAGTGTCATACACTGTGCCAGGCTCTGAAAGCAGCTCCTCTGGTGCCACCAAAGGGGTATTGGCCATTCACAGCAAAGGGATGGGTCATATCTACCCTTTGAGAAACTTCCAGGATGGGTTCTGGCAGTACCAGCAATTTGTGCCCATGCTGAAAGCACAGGGGATTCTGTCAGGTTTCTACAGAGCACTTAGTTTATTGGCCCATGGTGGAGCTGGGGCCATGGTTAGGGAAGGTGGGGTGAGAAGAATTAGAAAACCATGCTCCAAGCCCAAAGACCACAGGGAAACATATAGAGTAAGTGTGCAAACACTAGGATGCATTTGTTAAATTAAAATCACCAATTCTTTCATGTACCCTCCCTTTCCTAAAAGGGGAGTGTTAGTATAGGCACAAAGTCCAGAGAAGGTTATTTTTGTTTGTTTTGTCTATACCTTGTATACTCATCACTGTCACATGTGTTTTATTTATTGGAGTAAAAATCTGGTGCTCAGGCTTTCCTTTTAGTCATAAGCAATTGATTGTGTTATATATTCTTTAGATGATGACGACTGTGTGGCTGATTTTCTCAATAGTGATGAGGAAGAGGACAGAGTTTCTTTGCAGAGTTTAAAGAATTTAGGTAAGTCTGTGCTGTGCTTGTTTGTCAGCTGTTGAGATCTTGTTAATTTACTTGAGATCTTGTTAATTTACTGTTATATGGAATGTGATTTTTTTTTTTTTACATTAAGTATTTCAGTGTGGCATGCAGTGCCTTTCCTGTCCAGCCACACGATTCTGTAAACATTAGGGCTTTCACACCTCCCAGCCTGCGTCCAGTGTCATTCCCTCTGCCTGGAATCATGCTGGTCTTGCAGGTTAGCAAAATTCTGCTCTTCCTTCAAGGCTATCTTCAAGCTTTCTTTGCTCACCTAAGCTTTTTTCGATCATGTCTCTCAGAATTAGGTAACTTTTTGGCTTCCCACAGTGCTTTGCACTTACTGTAATATGCTCCTTACATTTTGTGGTAATTCATCTCTTATGTACCAATATGTAGGGCAGGGGCCTGTATCCCCATATTGCCAGTGCTCAGTTTACAGTCCAGTCATTAGTACAGACTGGTAATCACGATTTAATTTTTTTACGGGGAAATGGATATTAATAATGCCCAGTATTTTTGTAGCATTGCTTATTCAAGCCATATAACAGCTTTACATATATAATTAACAGGCTAATGTAGTTCCTAAAGGTGGGCATTATTTTCATTTTCCCATTTCATAGAATCAGGCTGAAAGGTTGTACTTTTGCACTTAAATTTAGATTGGAGCTGAGCGGGTAATAGGTATGAAAACTTTTATAGACTGTAAAGTACCATACAGGTGTTAGTGTTAGTTCTTGCCATTGGTCCTGGTGCCTGCTGGATCGCATACCACCATTCAGAGTATTTGGTGTAACTGTCTTCACTACTGAGAACCATTATACCTACAAAGAAAGAAGACATGCTAACAGCTTAATACTGTTGTTCTCTGTATATTTGTGCTGATAAAACAACTTTTTCTTAGCTGAAATGATATGAAGTTACACTATTTACAAAGAGAACACAAGAACAGGAATCTGTTACTACATTTAACTTGGAAATCATTTGATATGCTTAAAGGTTAAGGGGATGCAACATCTTGATAATTTTATTACATTTGAAACATTTAGCTTGCAGCTATCTCCATGTGTTCCCACTTGAATTCAGATTGGCACTTTTTTTTATTAATTTTTAAGGGGAATCTGCAACATTAAGAAGCTTATTGCTCAATCCACACCTCAGACAGCTGATGATCAGTCTTGATCAGGGGGACAACAAAGCAAAGCTCATGAGAGCCTACATGCAAGAGCCCTTGTTTGTTGAGTTTGCGGACTGCTGCTTAAGAATTGTGGAGCCATCCCAGAATGAGGATTCTTAACGTGGATCATTATGCTGCTTGCTCAAACATGTGCTTGACTCCCAGAACTTGCTGCTCCTTCCCCAGGAAACTAGCAAGGGAGGTGATTTCAGGATGTGGACTGGCTGATGTAGGTTATGTAGGTCTTCACCTCTTTCGACGTGGGCTCATGTTTCAAGCAGATAGGGGTACAGGGGTACATAAGGTGGCAAATCCTTTTTGGAGAGAAAACTTGACATTCAAATAGTTTTTAAATGTTTTATTTTTGGCACAGTTAAGGTAGACATCATAAATGATATAATTTGTTTTATACCCATTTGAGTTAAAAACTTGACCAGTGTTAATAAAAATCAAGATGTGATGGTTCTAGTGTATGTTGCATTTTGTTCATCATCCTTGTTTCATAATCTAATTGTTTGAAATTACATTAAATAGATCAACAACTTATTAAATAATAAGGTTTCATTCCTTTTTTAAGGAACTAAATGCAGAATGTTCTCCAGCCCAAATTCCAGAGCCAATTTTAAGATTTCTTTGCCTGTTTTCTTCCAAAAGTGGTTATGGGGAGTCAGAGTGCTCACTGCAGTGAAACGTGGTGATGTTCTCCGTGGCCCTGATGTTTCTTAGTCCTGGTTTGGTACTACCACCCCTGATGCCCTGTAGTACTTGAGATGTGGACCTGAAGCCCCAGGCCTGCTGGTACACGCAGCCCTGGCTCGCACATGCGTTTGCAGTCGCTGTGGGAGCACTTTGGCAGCTGTGTGTGGATTAAATGTCTTTGGCAAGAAGAAGCCTTATGGAAAAAAAGGCACCGAGGATCACCCAGCTGGGTGAGAGTCTAGGGTGAGAAGAGGTCACATGTGGATCAGCCTGTGTCTTTCCAGCAGAATCTGATTAAAGCCAGTAATACCATAGGGTGAAGAAGGTTCAGGACAGATGTCAGCATAGCGCAGTGGAGACTTTCTGCAGTGAAACTTTATCGAGCCCTAGGGAGAGAAAGATGCTGCTTAGCCTCAGCTACCAGGAGTGCCAGGGCCTAAAGGTACCTTACAGCGAATGCTAGAAATGCAAGGAGGTATGGACAAGTAAATACTGGCATGAGGGCCACAGGAGTAGCAGGATTGAGTTAATGTTTTTTTCTCCTTTCTCTAAAACAGTGCTAAAGTCCAAAGCAGCATTAAAAATTTTATATCTATCCAATCTAAGGCAGATGAAACACTAGGAGTGAGTATTGAATGTCACATTCCTATGATTGTGTAAAGCTGGAAGAGCAAAACATTTACACTTCTGTTTATACTCTTGCTAGCCTGTGTTTTCATGGGAGATTTTATCCAGATTATGGCCTTTAGTAATCCTCTGGCATAGAAATTCAGTGTTTCCTTGCTTCTGCCTTGTCAATTTCACTTATTCCTTGCTGGGGCCCTGTATAATAGGTTGAGTATCAGCCCATTCTATAGGGGAAGAACGGAGGCTCTGAGATGATGTGCCTTAGCCAAGGCCATGCAGTGAGGCGGGCACAGCCAGGACTCAGACCCTGGTGTTTTGCCTCCAAATGTAACATACCTTTCACCTTTCCTCAGCCACTTTATTTCTGTGAGGTGTGGCTTGCTGGGGTGAACCAGAAAGCTGAGTGACATCAACTTCCTGAGTGTGCTGGCTGACTTCCCTGGCTGCTCATATTGTATCATATCATATCATATCATATCATATCATATCATATCATATCATATCATATATCATATCATATCAATCATATCATATCATATATCATACCATACCATATCACTTGGACCAGTGACTCACCTGCTTTTCATTTCCTCAGCTGGAAAAGGAGATAAACCAAGTAATAAAATTTGAGGAAAATAAGCCCTGGCTGCTCATATTGTATCATATCATATCATATCATATCATATCATATCATATCATATATCATATCATATCAATCATATCATATCATATCATATATCATACCATACCATATCACTTGGACCAGTGACTCACCTGCTTTTTATTTCCTCAGCTGGAAAAGGAGATAAACCAAGTAATAAAATTTGAGGAAAATACGGTGTCAAATCTAGTGCCATCTGAGGTCATCACAACCCAAAATTTCTGAAAGTGGGACTAATTAAAAGAGATTCAGAGGAGATGCTATAACACTTAGAGGCTTTTTTTTTTTTTTTTTTTTAAAGTGAAGGGGCTATGGAAGAGTCCCAGTTGTAACAAAGGAAATCATCCAAACCTGCAGCTGGTTGGGAAGTGCAGGCGTCTAGTTTTCCCAGCAGGGTTAGGGACAGATCTTGTCCAAGCCTCTTTCCTGCTCCCCTCCGTGGACTCCTAGGCTTTGCCTCCTGCCTTCTAGAGTGGGGTGTAAGGAGCCCAGAGCTGTTGGGGCAGGACTACCATCCCGTCACACACAACTTACCTGAGGCAGAGCTCGGATGGACGTGACACCAGCCTGGTCTTGTTGAGCTGTCTGGATGGTGTAGCTACTGGGCCTGCCCCTGGGAAGCTGGAGGCAGGCCCAGACTACCAGTTTCCTCTGAAAGCCACGTGTACCCACAGCTGCGTTAGCCAGGACCAGTCCCAGGGGCCAGAGGTGAATTATTGCCTCCAGGAGCCTGGTCTGTACAGGGGGCAACGAGGAGGAGCACGGTGAATGGGAAGCTTGAGACAAGTGTTTTTCTTCCATACCGTCCAGTTCTTTGGAAGCAAGGAAGGCCATTCTGATCTTAAAAAGAAAACATCCCTTTATAGCTTTAGACTTATCTAGCATTCTTAATGGAAAATGGAAACTAAAACTATTTTTAGTAAATCGGCTTCACAAGGTGAACTGAAGGCATTTGGCTGTGGGCAACGGGATGCCCTGAACTAGACTGGTTCCATGTGGCAGAAGCCTATACACCCTGGGCAACGGTGCTTAGGCCTCTCATATGCTACTTTCAAAAAAAAAAATAATAGCCTTATTGAGATGGAATTGGTATGCCATCAAATTCAACCCTTGAATGTGTATAATTGCCTGGTTTAGTGTATTCCCAGAGTTGCTTATGCCACTCTTTACCTTCACAACCACCCTCCAGTGTAGGTGATGGTGTGCCCATTTCACACACAAGGAACATGAAGCTCAGAGAGAGAGGCTGAATGACCTGCCTGAGGTCACCGTATTGCAGTGCCAGAGCCCGCATCCCCACTCAGGTCCATCTGGTACCCAAATCTCCATCCACTGCCCACCCTGCCTACTTGAATCCTACTCACTCTCCACTTCTGCCATGCACGCTTGATGACTGTGGCGGCTGTGTGCAGTCTCCGGATGTGTTTCCGAGTTAACCAGGAACGAATGGCTGAGAGGTTTGCCCAGGAACAGGAAATAATAAAATGGTTATTAGAGCTACCGGCAACCTGGCTCTGCAGCAACACTGGAGTTGCTGTAAAAGTCTGAAATGTGTAGTTTTTCACATTACAACTATATGAAGTAAGGTGCCAAAATAAATACATAAAGCAAAATTGGCTTTTAAAAACATCCCTCAAACTGCCGTCACACTTGGAGATACCTACACAATGAAGAGGCAGCTAGGACTGGCTGCGGGCCCAGCAGTCACCTCCCATCTCAGGCTCAGTCCAGGGCAATGCCAAGGAAGGGAAGGGTCTCAAATTGTCTACACCTTTTAAAATTGTCTCTCTCTTAAAAATTTTCAGTTGAATTTGCTTGCTTACTTTATGAGTCCATGATATGACAACGCCATATACTCAAATACTGATAAAAGTAATTACTGGATGGTGGGATTATTTATTTCTTTCTCTTGGAATTTCAGCATATTTTGATTCTTTTTGGCATAATAATATTCAGAAAAGGGGGTTATTCCATTAAATACTAGAAATACATTCAGATTCTAAAATACTTGAAAAAACTTTAGAGGACTGGCTGGTTAGCTCAGTTGGTTAGAGCATCGTGTTGTAATACCAAGGTCACGGGTTCAGATTCCCATGCTGGCCGGCTGCCAAAAAATTAAATAAATAAATAAAAGGAAAAGAAAATTAAAAACTTTAGAGACAAATATAAAAATCATCTGTTGTTACCTCACCAACCCAGATGGTTTTACAATATTTCCTTGTATGATCTTTTTATGCCTATACACTCAGAAACATACCTTACAAAGGTGGCATCACCCTTGATACACAGTTTGGCATCCAGGTTTGAACATGACATTGGAAGTAGTTTTCCATTAAATTTATAATATTTTTCAAAAACACTTAGCAGCATCATAGGGATATTACAAAGGTGGCATCACCCTTGATACACAGTTTGGCATCCAGGTTTGAACATGACATTGGAGTAGTTTTCCATTAAATTTATAATATTTTTCAAAAACACTTAGCAGCATCATAGGGATAGTCCATAATTTAGCCATGAATCCACCACTGTTAAGATATTTGGCTTCTTTCTAGTATTTATATTTTTCAAAATAAGACTGCTATGAACATACTAGTTCATACATCTCTTCCTCTGATGAACTCTTGTTGGTTTTTACCTTCTCCTTAAACTCATCCCAAGCTCTAGAGCCCAGCAGGTAATGATATGTCATAAAGGGAAAAAAAATGTTAGCATAAAAAGCTGTCTAGATTTGATAAGGGGAAATTAAAGGCAAACTTTTGGCCTCCATTACCTACACAGTACCCTTATTTGTAGTGTGATTTGGTTACCACCAAACTGGAGAGAGACTCTGAGTGAGGTGCACAGGGAATTGGAATCCTAGGGCACCACAGGGACGTGCCATCCACTTCTTCGGGCTGGGACTCAGTTTCAGTAGACAGGGACTCAATAAGCAACCTTTCAAAGGAAACCAACATCATGTGGGGTCTGTGTGCAGTTGCTAACAGGTGGTCCCACCTTGCCTACCTGCCTGGATGAACATGGCGGCCCGCCTCTGCCTCTCCTGCTTTTGGTGTTGGTATCGCCTCCAGCCATCCTGGATGCAGCGGGCACACTGCTCCAGCACCTGGGCACGCCCACATTCTAGAAGCTCCAGCTGGGAGAAGGGGCATCCACTGAGGTCCTTAGCCTCTTCTCCTTCTGACCTGAGGAAGGCCCAGACCCTGTCCTGTTGAGGAGTGCATGGGTCCTCCCCAAACCAGCTTACCATGGAGTCGGTCATGAACACCTTGGTCTTGCCACAGTACACTGGGGCCGGTGTGACCTCAGCCGGGTCACCAAGCATGCCTGCTGCCTGGGTTAGAGCTGGCAGAGTGTGGAGGATGTCCTGGAGCAGAGGCTGCAGTATGGCCCCCCTGGCATGTGGAGGCCATTCTGGAGGAGGGGAGACAGGGGCCCCATCAGTGCATGGTCACTCTACAGCTTTTGTGGTCTTAAGAAACTGGCTTTGGCCTCCCCAGCTCTCTAGAGGCCTCTTTCCTGCTGTTCTTCCCCCTTCCCTTTTTGGGGGAGGTCAGAGGCAGCCCCTCTACTACCACCCCTTAGAGCCTGGCTGTTCTGGGGATTCCTGGAATCCCCCCTTGTGGCTGTGCCCTGGTGTCCTGCAAGCACATTGTTGTGGGTCCCTTTGGGCAGGCTGGCAAAGGGTACATGATCCCTGAAAGAGTGACTCTTCTCAACCAGGAATCCCAGGCTGTCTGGCCAGCATTTACTTCCAAGGCCCCCAAAATCCTGAGGGCCAATAACGGCAGCTGGGCCACTCCCTCGGTCCCTGACCCCTCACTCCCCGCCATGTATGGGAAAAGGGAGAACAAATCCCAGCCCTGTAAAGACCTAGTGGGTCCTGCTGCCTGCCCTCCCGCATCTCACAGGGCTCACTCCCCTAGAGGGAGGGTTTACCTGAGGCTCTGACCACCTTTGGCCGCTCAGAGCCTCTCTGGAGACAGAGGCTGCCAAACGAGATGCCGAAGATGAAAAACAGCAGCAAAATCAACCAGGGGCCAGAGGGGCTTTGGGCAAGAGACAGGACAGGAGAGCAAGCCATGGAGAGAGGGAAGGAGAGAATAAAGGGTGAAAGGAAGTGACAACACTGACCCGAGAGGGGAGCAAAACAAAGCAGAATTGTCTGCACTTCTGGGGGCTGATGGGCCCAGGGTAAGGCTGGGTGGGTGCGGGGAGCAGCTGTGGCTGGGCTGGAGTCCTGCTGAGGGGGTGCCTCGTACCCTTCCCTTGGTCTCTTTTCCCTCTGCCTGTCTCTGGGCCTTATCCCTCGCCTGGCCTCAGTTATATCTACACAACAACCGCCCCCAGCTCAGGGCCCCAGGCCAGACCTTGCCTTGAGATTAAAGCTTGCCCAAGTGCATTGCAGACATCTTCACTGGGCTCCAGTCACCTGGAGCTCAGGTCAGCCACAGAGGGGCTCATTAGCTTCCCCAAACCTCTCTTCCTCCTGCTTTTCCCCACTGGCCAAGCCGAGTTAATTTTTTCCCTTCCTCTCCTCTACAACTAGTCAAGCACCTAACAAGGCTGACCAATTTCTTCCAAACATTTTCTGATTATACGTATTTCTAGCTTCTCGAAACTTCACAGCCTCCCTCCCATGGCTCTCCACAGGGCCTGCAGAATGCAACAGGCTGATGGAATCACTTGCTCCCTCCCCCAGAGAGCCTCCTCATCTGCCCAGAGGATAAAGTCCAGATATGGTGACTGGGCCCCCGCTGTCACCGCAGCCTTACCTCCTACCATTCTCTGCCCTGATGAGCCAGCAACACTGAAGGGCCTGCAGTGCCTCACACCTACACTGTAGTCTTGTGCCTCCAGGCCTCTGTTCCAATTACCTCTGACATGTGGAATGCCCTTCACCTGGCTAATCCAATTAATCCTCTGACCCCTCCTCCAGGAAGCTTTCCTGATTCACACCTCTCCAGCATCACCCACAGCATCCTGTTCATAGTTCTGCCTTTCCACTTTCCACACTGTTTTATTGTCTCTTTTGAGTCTATTTTTCCCACTAAACCAAGAACCATAAGGGCAGGGCAGGCGCTCAGTAAACTGTGGTTGAACAAATCACTAACAAATGGTCCTCACTCACCAGAGTGCCTTTTGGCAGGATATGGGCTGTGAGAGCCAGAGGATGTGCAGGGATGGAGCCTTCTCAGTAACTCATATCGTTCCACGAAGTTCTGGTGAGAGACCCTGGAAGCCAAAGCAGGTGGAAGAAGAGAATGTCCTCATCTGTGAGCTAGGTACATTGCTCGGGGCTCAACAGAAGTTATTCCATTTAATCTGTCCAACCACCTGGTGAGGTGCTGCCCTGACTAGCCTCACTCAATGGACAAGGATGTGGTTCTAGAGAGATTATTAGGTTCACTAAGTGTGAAGCCCATGGAGACCATTTTAAATCAGGTCTGCTCTTCCTGCTGCCTCGGTTTACCGAAACAAAGAATCTTGCTCTTACAATAGGGGATTTGCAGCCTGCCTCCTTCCACAGGGGCTAACGGGCCTCTCCCCAGACAACTGGACCTCTTCTATCACACAAACATGCTTGGCTGCATCTCCCCTCTGACCTCTCTGACCCCACAGCCTCCTCCAATTCCCCCTGATTTCTCTGCTCCCCTTCAGGGCAACACTTCTCTAAACAGCTGATGACACTTGATATATGCACTTCCTCCTCCCAATCGCTTTTGTCCCCCACACTGCACCAATATGGCTCCTGTCACAAACAGCTAACACTGTGCCAACAAATTGAGGGGTCAGTGCTTAGTCTCCCTCCTACCTTATCTCTGGGCAAAAGCTGACCCCTCTCCCTTGTGGACCATTCTCTCAGCCACCAGGACACCCACGACCTTCCTCCTACACCCAAATTGTCATTGCTGGTTTCTCTTCATCCACCCTTTCTAAATGTGAGCATTCTTCAGGGAATGGCCTCAGACCCTTTCTCTCTCTCCCTAGGCAATTTCCTCCTTGCTCATGGTTCTAAAACCCACTGAGGACAGACCCTCACATGCCTCTCCAGTTCTTAAAGCTCTGCCCAGCCCCGAGCCTGTCTCACAGCCAGCTCAAACCTGACAAGGCCATAAGAGAATTCCCAGGCCAACCCTCCTTCCTTCCCCTCCCACCCTCCAACCTGGGCCTTGACCAGACCAAACCATTTTGGCAAACTGCCCCCAACGCATCCATTTGCCTTAGATGGAAAACTGCAAGTTGCTTCTGCAACCTGGAAGTTTGCTCCTCTGCCCAACACCCTGTGGATTAATTGATTAATCCACAGTCTTGCTCTTTCTATTGCAAACCATACTCCAGTTTCACCCGCTTCTCTCCACTTTTCACTGCAGCTGCCCTCGTGTGGCCACCACTCTTGTCTGTTCACCTGCAACAGCCTCCTTACTCATCTCCTCCCTTCTACCCTGACACTACAGCCAACCTCCACACAGCAGCCACAGGGCTCTTCTTGGAATATGAATGAGAACACACCACTCCTCTTTAGAATGTCCAACGGCTCCCACCGCACTCAGGACAGACTATAAAGTCCTCTCATGGCCTATCAGGCCCTGCAGGTCTCCCTCCACCACTCCCTGTTCTCTGTGGTTTAGTCCCTTTAGCATCTCTTGGTCTGATCTAGGAGCTTTAGGATTACTGCTCCCTCAGCCTGGCCTACTCTCCCCTCCCCCAAATCTTCCCAGGCTGGCCCCTTCCTTTCCCATAGGCCTAAGCTGCTTAGAGGGGCCCCTCCCTGACCAGCCCATGGATCCCCTTCCCTGTTAGTCTGTCTAATAGCAATTTTTGTTTCCTTCCTAGCACCAGTTACACTTTATACTTATTTTTCTTGTTTTCATGGGAATGTAGGCCCAAGAGGACAGAGCTCACCTTCCTTATTTATGATATATTACCAGCAATAGTGCTGGGTCCAAAATAGTGTACAAGTGAATGGATAAATGAATGGGTGCTGCTCCTTGAGTTTCACGTTGACATTTACAGACCTGCCTCTTTTTCTTCATCTCCATATCCTGCTCTGGGTTGGGAGTCCTGAGCTTCACCCTGGCACTGCAGGTCTCCACCCTTCCCCCTGCAGCCATCTGGCCCACTCACCGGATGGGGAAGCCGGCAGCACTGATGTGGATGGTCTCCACAAGGCCACAGGCCTCCAGCTGGCTCAGCACCTGCAAGAATGGGGAGACAGGATAGGCACCAGCAGCATGCTACCAGCAGGCCAGAAATACCATTCCTTCTGCCCTTCTGCTCAGGCTCTGGCCAGTGTGGAGCTGCAGGCTCTCCCAAGGCTTGGCTGATGGGGGTATCTCCTTGGGGCAGTGAGACACCAAGGGACCTTGAAAAAAATCTCCCTGGTAAAAAAGGGTCCTGGTGGTCAAGTCCCCCTTATCTGATGCACAGCTTATGACACAGCTGAGGCAAGTGACAGTCCTGGCTGTGTCTATCACTTCTCCCAGTGCAGACTCACTACCTCACAATGCAGCCCAACCAAACTTCTAGTTTTGATTGTTTTTATTTTTTTATTGTTTTATTTTATTTTATTGTCTTTTTCGTGACTGGTAAGGGGATCGCAACCTTTGGTGTGGTGTCACCCACACCGTACTCAGCCAGTGAGCGCACCGGCCATTCCTATATAGGATCCGAACCCGTGGCGGGAGCGTCGCTGTGCTCCCAGCCCCGCACTCTCCCGAGTGCGCCACGGGGCCGGCCCAGATTGTTTTTATTTTTTATGGGCAATAGAGTGGTTCATAGCTGAGCAGTAGGGGAGGTTATATTATGGAGCTTCTTCCATGACCTAAACCCAGCTCTTTACCATACAGCCAAGTTCCTGGCTACAAACCCCCAGGCCACATCTACCAGGTGACTGAGGGCCACTCTTCAGCACTGTCCAACACTCACACCTCATCCACATCCCTCAGAGCCTGGTACCCTAAGAAAAGGGCAGCTGCTGTCCAGAGTGCTTCTGTACAAATTAGAAAAAATGATACCTCCAGTCAGAAATGGCCACACTGTACAGGGACTGTAAGGTGGCACAAACTTTTGGCTAATCACAAAAGCTACCCATTCCTCTGGGCAGCTTCAGTCTCTCGTCAGGGGAAGTGGCTTGGCAAGTAGAGGGCAAGATGTACTGGAGCCCGTACTTGCCCCCCTTGGCTAGGCCACTGTGCAGTGTATAGACCACACAACTTGAGCGGGAGATAAGCCCTCCCTCAGGTCAGGCCTAGCCTGAGAGACCTCTCTGGTCACTCCATTTGGAGCAGATGTCCTGCCCTTCCTCCCTCCAGAACAGTGGCCAGAGTGCGCTTGGTGCACAGCAGCTTTGGCACTGTGTTAATTACCTCCTCCTGGAAGAAGGTCTGTGCCTGGCCCTGGCTGTTGGGCTTGATGCAGCGAATGTAGTGGGGCGTGGTGCTGTGCAGGACCTGCAGGAGCTGCTCCAGGGAGGCCTACAGATAGGAGAGACTGTGGGGTCAGGCACAGGTTGGGGCTGCCCAGAGCCATCAGCTGGGCCCTGGTCAGTGACTACATCAAACGCCTCCAGTGGCCCTCCTAGCTGTGAGACCAGGATCCTCATGTACCCTGGGGACAACTACTGGAGGATCTCACTGAGTGTGCCCAAAGCAACTCCTCTCCTGACCTCCCACCACTCCTTACCTCCACCTCTAGGGACCCATCTGACCTGTGATCATCACCTGATTGGTGTCCTTGCATCTGATCTCAGCCTCCTTCCTCCCTCCTCTCCTCCCCAGAACAATCTTCCTAGAAGAGAACAATCTCATGATCCCTGCCATTCACTCAGAGAACTGCTATTATTAAATGTCCATCCTGTGTGCTGGAGGCTGTGTCAGGGGCTGTGACACTAGCAATCTGCTGCTGTCTCAGAGCTCAGTTTAATGGGCTACACACATGTCGGATGGGAACCTTCAGTGCTGTATCTGAAGCTGGGGCAGGAAAGTGCTAATCGATCTGGAGTTTCCCAGGGTACCTCCTCAAGGTGGTAATGATAAAGCTGAGGTTTGATGGATGAGAAGGAATAAACTAAGAAAAGTGATGTGGAGGGTGGCAGTGAGGTGGAGTTGAAGGGACAGGGGCCAAGAGCATCCCAAGATGATGAAGGTGGTACATGCAAGGGCTGAGAGATGGTACAAAACAGATAATATTGAGAGAAGTGACAGATCTGCTCTAGCCAAGGACAGGGTTTTAGCAGGAAGCTAGAGTTGGGAAGGGGCCAGGTCATAGAGATTCAGGTAACTACTGCTCTCCTGTGATCACCCTATCAGCAGAGGGTGAAAGGCCCCACTGTGACCCCACAGGCTCCTAGGCTTCCTGTCATATCATTACATCCATTAGTCTATTAGTCTGTTTCCTGTCTGTCTTCCACACAGAAGTGTAAACTCCATGGGGACCAGGGCCATGTCTACTTGACTCACCACTGTTCCCCGCAAACAGCACCAATCCTGGGAGGAGCTCAATAAACATTTGTGATACTGATGAGTGAACTGAGCGCCTCACCTCAGCACCACCAGACTCACCTTGAACTTGGACACCACGGTCAACACAGGAGCCCTGTTCTGGCCAGAAGGCTCTTCCTGGGTCTTCTCTTCGGGGTTAGTAGGAAACAGCACCGTGAGCAGGGGGTCCTGGGACTGCTGCAGAAGCCTGGTCAGCTCAGGAGGGATGGGATCCTATTTGGAAAGGGCAAGAGTACCAGGTGAGGGCAGGTGGAGCTGCTGCCCAGGGCTGTCCATGTACCTGCCACTCCTGCCTTGGCCCAAGCCAAAATGGGACTTCCAGGCAGGGCAGGGCCTGAGCCTAAGAGAAGAGCTGGCCCACTGGACAACCAGAGACCTGGAGACCCAGTCTAACACGCACGGGTCACTTCCAGACAGGTTGTGCTTGATTAGCAGAGACCTCAGGCAGGTGAGCCCAAGATGGTGATCCTGGATTCTGGGAGGATGTTCAGAAGAAACAGGAGGCATGATGGGAAACTACTATGTATATGCAGCAATAACTCAGCATCTTGTTTCACCCAGGCCCCTACCAGCCATGCCCAGCCCTCACCTTATTCTTCTCCACCAGGCCCTCTGTGTGATACCGCACAGGCCCCGCATAATGCACCACAATGAAGCTGGGCTCCCTGCTGAGCTTATTGTGGCCCAGGCAGGGGTTGCCTGCCAGTGCACCCTCAATGCGTGTCTGGAGCTGGGCCGCACTGCTTGGACGATTAAGGCGGCATTCCTATGGGACGGGAATGGGCAGTCAGCCACAAAACCAAGAGGGTCTCACAATCCTCACTGTCCCCACTCTGTGACCCCATGGCAGAAATGTGACACAGGCATCATAGTGATCCCAACAGAGAGGGAATGTGGGGACTACCAAACCCATTTGGCAGATGGGGAAGGCACAGAGAGGGCACAGGATAGTCACCAAGGCCTAGGAAAGCCCAAAGACCAACTCATGCTCAGCTCATGAGCTGACCCTCCCCACCTCATTTATAAGAGAGCAGATGCTGATGGGGCTCCCCTCAAGGAGATCCAAACAGGTCTGGTTGTCCTGGTAGTTGACAAATGACCATTCCAGGCCCTCCACTGCGTATTCCTCCTAGGGGGCAAAGGTGGGGGTAGGGTGAGATAAGGCAGCTGTGGTCTGAAGCCCAGATGGGCCATGCATGGCTGATCTCAGTACTTCGGTATATTGTTCTAGAACAGCAAAGCAAGAACAAAAGTATATCAAAAATCACATTGTAGGGCCGGCCCGTGGCTCACTCAGGAGAGTGCGGTGCTGATAACACCAAGGCCCCAGGTCCAGATCCCATATAGGGATGGCCAGTTAGCTCACTTGGGAGAGCGTGGTGCTGACAACAACAAGTCAAGGGTTACGATCCCCTTACCGGTCATCTTAATAAGAAAAAAAAAAAAAAAAGCACATTGTATCTCATATGTATATATAATCATTATTTGTCAATTAAAAATAAAATAAGGGGCCGGCCTGTGGCTCACTTGGGAGAGTATGGTGCTGATAACACCAAGGCCACGGGTTCGGATCCCTATATAGGGATGGCCGGTTTGCTCACTGGGTGAGCGTGGTGCTGACAACACCAAGTCAAGGGTTAAGATCCCCTTACTGGTCATCTTTTTAAAAAAAAATAAATAAATAAAAGAAAAGAAAATAAGAAGTAACAAAAGGCTTCTAGTCAAAACTTAGGCTGGGGCTGAAGAGCCAGGAAGAGACAGAGGATCCAGGAGGACCATCCACCTTACCCTATCCCTCACCTGCTGTGCCCTTAGGTAGTGAGCCACAAAGTGCTGTTGTAGCTTCTCATTGGTGTAGTTGATACACAACTGTTCTAGACTGTTTTCAGGAAATGACTCAAATCCGTACACATCCAGCAGGCCTGGGAGGATGGGAGAGAACCCATGGGGCCACTGCGGCAAGCAGGTGGGGGTTGAGGACTACAGGAGCCCAGGGTTGCTGGGTCCCTGCCAACATCTCACACTTGGCAGGCTGGGGATGAGGTTGAGTGAGCATGACACCAAGTGGTGGCCAAGCATACCTCCTCTATCCCCCACCCCCCACCCCATGCCCCCTCAGAGCTCAGAGGAGCCAGAAAAGCCAAATGAAGTATATGGGGCAGCCCGGGCATCAGGCCCATTTTTGAATCTGAATTCTTTGGTCCTGATAGGCCCCTCCTCTGAGGAAACCAGGTCTCAGGGAACATTTTCCGAGTCAAATCTAGTTCAGAGGGCCTTGATCTCACCAGCCTGGTTGGTGCCTAGAATTCCACCATTCCATGAGCCAACCACACTGGGGCCTTTAAACTTTACTTCCTCCCCTACTTGACTGTCCCATCCAGGGTTACAATGATGTCAACCTCAGTCATGGCTTCCAAGTCTCTGCTAGTCTAGCTCTTTCACCCATCCCTCATGATTCTCTTGTGACTGGAGCTGGGTCTCTGGGGAGAAAAGGGATGCATATAGACAAGGCTCTATCTAAGTCTGTTTGGAGAGCTACAGATGTGGAATTAGATGTCGGCACTGGAGAGCAGAGATTTTGCCCAAACACTGGTGGGTGGATGGAAGAGAAGACAGGCATGCAGAGAAGGAAAAGGAGGGGACCCAGGGCTCCTGCCTCTCCATCTCGGGTTCTGTCGCTTTTTCTGGAATGCCCTTAGCAGGGTGGGCCAGTTACCTATAAAAGTGGTCCATGAAGTGGGGTCTGCACAGATGCTGCTGTTGATCACTGATACCAGCCAGTCAAACAGCCTGTTGGTGGGAAGAGAGTGGACTTTTTGAGAGGGGTTCAGGCTGAGCATAAAGGGCAGCAAAACTGCTCCCCTAGCCAGGGTGCCACACCCTGCAGGGCCGTGTACTCTAAACCTGACAGGTCAAAGGGTAAATCTTCTCCTCTTGCTTCCTGCCAATCCTGTCCTGACCTACTACAGATGCAGGCTATAGGCACATACATGTTCCCAGGTATATACAAACCTGGCCCATCCTCCCAGCAAGACTAGCACAGGACCAGATCAACTCCTGGCCTAGGCAGGGAATGGGTCTGTGTCAGCTGAATGGCCCGACACCCAGCTGGTGTCTTGACTAGAAGAGTCCTGGGTGGGGTTTGTAAAGAACTGAGTTCACTGGACTCCCCTGCAAAATTCTACTTGTGGAGCCCACAGCTCAAGGCCCCACCACATGCCCCCGACTCAGTCCTGCACAAGTGGGCCCGGAGTCACTTGAAGTCAACAATGGCATCCTCAACTCTGAAACCACCTCCACCACAGAGAAGATGAGGTTACTGTATTAGGTGGTGACAGGTACACTCTTCAGGGGTTTCCTCCTTACAATTTTTCTTAAAGTAATTTCTCTGCAACTTTTTTTTCAGTTCAGTAAATAAAATAGCTTCTCTTTTTGCAAGAAAGGCTTCAAACACCCATTTGCGGTACTAAAAATGAATGACCTAGTGTTGACAATGACTTGGTGTTTTCTGTGAGTAAAATGTTCTGTGGTTAGAAGTTCACTCTGGGCCGGCCCGTGGCTCACTCGGTAGAGTGCGGTGCTGATAACACCAAGGCCCCGGGTTCGGATCCCACATAGGGATGGCCGGTTCGCTCGGTTAGAAGTTCACTCTGGGCCGGCCCGTGGCTCACTCGGTAGAGTGCGGTGCTGATAACACCAAGGCCCCGGGTTCGGATCCCACATAGGGATGGCCGGTTCGCTCGGTTAGAAGTTCACTCTGGGCCGGCCCGTGGCTCACTCGGTAGAGTGCGGTGCTGATAACACCAAGGCCCCGGGTTCGGATCCCACATAGGGATGGCCGGTTCGCTCGCTGACAACACCAAGTCAAGGGTTAAGATCCCCTTACCGGTCATCTTTTTAAAAAAAAAAAAAGAAAAAAAAAAAGAAGTTCACTCTATCTGTGATCATCACACACTTAATCTGCTCATTTTGCAGTAACTTGTAGGCAAAGGCTTTAAAAACCTTTGGCCTGAAGTTCTGACTTGAACTTAGTTTCAAGGCAGTGGTAACTGAGCCTCTTGCTGAAATGGGTTCAGTCTGGGCCTGAACCCAGCTGCCTTGTGCCATTTTCAACTCAGAGGATCTTGTTCCCTCAACAGTGCTTCTCAAGTTCTTGGCTCCTTAACACGTTCATGAAAGCAGGGGGACCCTCTCCCCAGAAGGGTACCCCAGGTCCCACATGTACATACACACACATGTGAGGATTCTAGGTCCTTGAAGCCCTTATAAGGTACCCTGAAGGTTCCCAGGGTCCAAAGTGGGAAACCATCCTTAATCACATGGACAGAAGGTGGAGGTGCCCATGTAACCCACCAGGAGAAGGCCAGGACCCCCATCTTCACCACTGTCTTGGGCTCCCACTTGCTGCATGCTGTGTTGTCCAAGACTGCGTGCTGAGCCTCTGGCTCTACCAGCATCTATCAAATTCCCCAGGTGACTACATAAGTCTTAAGTACAAGGGTACAGGGAGACAGAGAAGCCTATTCTCCCAAGCGTCTGAACCCGTAACTGAGAAGGCCCCAGATCACCTTTGGGGCCTGTCTTGCCAGCAGAGAACTGAGCAGGCTTTCCTCACCTATTGCCAAGGTCAAAGCAGGCTCCTGTACTTTAATAATGAGCTGAATCTAGACCAGGAATGTGGCAACTTCCCCACTCAGTACTCAAGAATACAGGCCAAGGGCACTGCTCAGGAAAAACCTGGGAGCCATGCCCTGCTGTCCTCAGGGGTCTGAGGAACCTGTCTGCTTTACCTGGCATTACCCAACCTGGGCCTGTTTGTGACTATTGCCTGATGGTGTCTGGTCCAACCCCAGACAGGAGGAGAACTTGTGGGGAGGGCAGGGCCCAGAGTAACTGCTCACCATGCATAGACCAATTTAGCCAGACAGTCTCTGCGGGTATCACACTCGGCTCGGGAGCAGGGCTTCCGGAACACCTGCTGCCGCTGCCTGCCTGCCCTGATAGTTCTAATCCGCAGTGTCTCCAGCAGTATGTCCTCTGGAAGTCGCAGCAGCAAGGCTGATGTCCTGACAGAGCCTGAGAGAAGTGAATCCTCCTTAGGCAAATCACCCTCCATCTAAACAGCCCTTTTCACCAGGCACTGTGAAGTCATCACAGCAGAACCATGACTTCCAATGGGTGAAGAAACTTGCCAAAGGCTTCCATAAGCAGCAAAGTCAGGAGAAGAACCCAGTTCTATGTCCCAGTCCACACTGCCACGTGTGGGACAAATCACTTTATAAACCCCGACTCTCATTTTCTCATTTGTACAATGTGGATTACACTGTCTGCCTTAGCAGAGATGGGATGAGGAGTAAATTATCCAGGGCAGGGCCCTACAGTGAATGGTTTAGTCAAGGACATCAGATTCAAAATTTTACCATTGGCCTCCCACCTAATCCCACCAATGTTGGCTACTTTCCTGACAGGGCCTGCCCTACACCCCACCCTTGCCCCTCACACTTGGCATCATCCATCAGCTGGCAGGGCTGGGCTTCATCCTCTGAGTCAGCAAACCGGATGTTGCCAAGGTGCAGCAGTCCAGCTAGGACCTGAGGGGGCAGAAAAGGATAGTCAGGAGCAGGAGAGGATATGAAGTGGGCCTAGGCTGGGAAGGGCCTCTCTCCTGCTGAATACAATCATGACAAGAAAAGAATAATAGCTCCCAATTATTGCCCAATTTTCTCTGCCAGGCACAATTCTATACAAGTTATATGCATCCTCTCATGTAATCTTTTCAACATACCAACCTATGAGGTATGCACTATGATGACAATCATGATAGAGATGTGTCAGGGAGAGGTTAAATCACAAGCCTGAGAACAAACACTTTCTGAGGAGAAAAGCAAGCTTAGAACCCAGCAGTCTGACTTCAAATGCCTCCCAGGGCAGCCAGTGGGGCCCTCATGTCTACCCACTATCTGTCCTTCTGCCTCCCACTCTCCAGGAACAGACTGTGTGTGCGGACACCACTCCTGTTAGCTGTGGTCCTGGGCTACTTTTGTGTCTGCTGCGGGCTTGGCTCTGGCTCCTTTTCCTGAGCTTATGACAGCCCAGCCTGGGGAGGAGCTGTGATCCTGGTTTCTGTACAGTGAGTGACCTCTTGCTTTTGTACTCAATGATCCACATGGACAAGCCTCCAGTAGCTAAAGAAAAGAGGCCCCCAGGCCCAACAACTTTGAAACACCTGGAACTGATATCAGGAGAGCAGGATTCCTCCCATCATCCAAGTCTGGACCCAGGCAGGGCACCTCCACATGCTACTGGCCTTCTGGCCACAACCTACTCCATAAGAAGACTGCTATGTCCAACAGATGGTGTGGCTGTGGCAGAGTGTTATGCCACCCCCAAACCAGCACTACTGCCCAGACTCCTAGTGTCCATTCCCCCTGGGCTCATTCCCTATGTGCTGTTCTTCTGGCCAAGCTCTTACCTGGCAGTGCCCATACTGGGGATGTACCCTCTCTACTTGAGCAGTCCCCACCTGGAGGTGGAGGTCACTTTCCACCATACTGCCATGTCCCTGAAGTGATGTCCCTGTCCCTGCTGCCAGCCTATCCTATCTATCTCCTCCTGTTGCTCTCGTGGGTGAGGAAGGGGGGAGTGGTGCAGAAGAGAGGCAGTCAGCTTTGTCAGCAAAGACAGAAGGGAGAAGGGAAGCCACCAGTAGCCATGAGAGAGGTCCAGCTCACCTGGGTCAGTGCCATGTCCAAGAGGAAGAGGCAGGTGGACGGGAGGTTGTGGGAGGAGACAAGGAGAAAGGTGGAAATTTGAAATTACTATGTCTAGCACAAACTCACTATCACTAGTGGTGTCTAACCTTGGGCAGGTCACTTTACCTCTCTGGTTTTCTCAAGCATGAAACGGAAATAATCTCCACACACAGAAGACTGCTGAAAAAAACCAAGGGAGCTAAGAGGTGCGAACATGATTTTTAAGTTTTAATGTACTAGACAAACATGTGGTCGCACTATTTCTGTATTCTGATACTGCAGTAACAACTGACCCAAGCACCTTGCTCTCTGATACCTGCGGGTCACCGTATTATCTTCTGTACTCTAGCCCTATGTACTGTACCACTGTCCTCTCTGCCTCTGTCCACCCCTCGACACCTTGTCTCCAGGTTCGGCAGCATGGAGTGGTGGTTGATTCCTTTGAGATTGTACATTGGGGCCCAAAGTCCTAGATGCTCAGGGAAAGAGCAGGGCTGCCTGTTACCTTTGGCAAATGTGAGTGGCATGGCTTTTCTTCTGACCTTAAAGATGTTGTTCTGGGTGGGAGTGTCGATGCCCAAATGGAGCATGGCCTCTCTGGTCACCTCAAAACAATCCTCTGAAAAAGAATTCATGTTACAGTCCAGTGTCAGAGCCAAAGCTCAGTAGGGGCAGCAAGGAGTGAGGGACGTACGCTCTGTAGCAGAGTAGTAGGTACTGTTGGGCTGGCCCAGGGTCCTGGGTGAGGCTCTCCCTACCTTCCAAGGTCCTTTCTGGGTTGGGCAGCCAGGAGAAAGTGGCTCCCTCAGGGAGATGCCACTGGAGCCTCTCATCTTCACTGGCTCCTTTGTAGATCTGTGGGGAGGGATGGGCAGGTGGCTGAGCTGGGGGTGAAGGGAAGCCCAGGTCTCCACAGGCCTGGAGCTGGGATGACAGGGGTGAGAAATGACAGCATCACAAGTCCGAGAGGTCCCTGTAGACAGCCCAGGCAGGCATGGGGGCAAAAGAACCTAACATGCCTTGGGGGACCCTATCTTATGGAAGAGGCACAAGTCTAGGGAAGCCCTCATTCAGTTGGAGACAGCTGCCATTCTAGGAGAGTTCTCAGTATGATGAGGATGATATAATTTCCACCTAGAGACAGAGTCCCAGCCTCAGGGAGCTTCTGGTCTGACAGAGGTGGTAAAACACATCCACAGGCCAAAACTGTGCAGGGATCTAAGGTCCAATGTGAAGCAGAAGTACTGCATATAAAGTTTGCAGGGATAAGTGGCAGCACTGCTGCCAGCCAGGTGAAGGGGCCAGGCATGGAGCATTTTAGGGGGCTGGAGACACAGACCCATCCCTGCCCTGTAGCTGGACAGCTGTGGACCCCAGCTGGCACTAACCTGGTAGAAGATGTGAAAGTTCCTCTCATTGGAGGCCTGGTAGGCCACTCGAGTTTTCTCTAGGAGGTAGGTCTGAACTGCAGCTCCGGTCATTTGCTGGTCCCTGGGCACATGCAGGCCGGAGCCCATTAGTTGCCTGTTCATTCCACAGCCATTTATTCAGTACTTGCTGTGTGCCACACAGCCACCTAGCAACTCCCCAAGCTCTTCCACTTAGCCAACTGGAGTCATGAGGGCTGAGGACCACTCAGAATGTCCTTGGGTGTTCTGGAAAAATCACCTGCATCCAGGTCAGGTAGGCAGGGCCAAGGCCTCTGTACATCACTTTTGCTCCATCCCAAGGCAGGAACAGAAGCCCTAGCTCAAAGCTATCGCCCAAAGGGATGGCACTTTAACTAGAAGTCCCTGAGCAAGGGTAGAAGCCAGGAGAAACATATAGGCTGCAACAAGAATACTGCCCCAGAGTCCCTAAGGTTGGAGTAGCTATAGTTTTCCAGACTCAAAGATCATCCTCAGGCTTCAATAATCCTAAAGAATCCCATATAGATACATGCCAAGAGAAGCAGGGTTTTGCCCATAGGAATGGCCGAGGCTAGAAACTGCCCTGGCCACTTTCGACACCCCCACCCCCACCCCATCCTTCCATTGGCCAAGGTAGCAGCAACTATTACCTGTTCAGCTGAAGCTGGATGAACTTCCCAAAGCGACTGCTGTTGTTATTCCTCAGTGTACACGCATTCCCTACAGATCACACCCATGTTTACACCTCTCTCCTGGGTTTACAAAGTTCTCACCGACCAAGGTGGCTGCAGGTCTGCTGGGGGCCATACCCCTATCCTCAAGTCACCTAAAGGCACCTTTGTTGATATCCATGTCACGAGGGACAGGACTAGGGAATGGGCACTCAGGCTTGAGCAAGTAGGATTTAGGAGAATTAGAACTTCCCAGCAAAGGATTGGAATGAATAAGCCTAGGCAGTCAGAGATTCTTTTCTTCAAATGGAAGCGTCAAATGGGCTGAGCCCGTGGCGCACTCGGGAGAGTGCGGCGCTGGGAGCGCAGCAGCGCTCCCACCGCGGGTTCGGATCCTATATAGGGATGGCTGGTGCGCTCACTGGCTGAGCGCAGTGCGGCCGGTCTCAAAAAAAAAAAAAACAGCTGTCACTACTGGCTTTAAATAGTAATTAATATCCAACATGGATATTAACTGTTGCACACTCTTAGACAAGCACCCTTCTCCTTTGAACCATCAGGAAACTAAGTAGAAAGATAGGATTTGGACTATGTGAGCCATAAGGTCCTCTCCAGCACCACTTTAAAAGTGTGGCTAGGCTGGAAGGAAAAAGACAACTAAATTACATCACCTCTATTGGAAAGAAGCTGAGGGGCGCCCGGGAGGAGGGGGTCCAAGGCAGTGAAGGATACACTCATCCTCCAACCCTCAAAGAAAGGGTCTCAAATCATTGCCCCTCTCTCTCCCTGGAAGGTGGTTAATTCCAGAGGAAAATGGATTGAGATACTGTGCAGAGGACACTGAACTCACCAAAAGCTTCCATGACAGGGTTGGAGTTCAGGATCCGCTGTTCGATCCTCTCTGCAATCTTGTGGCTCTCCCAGGATGTAGGTGAGGCGGCCACCACAGCGTAGAACTTCATCAGGCAGCGAGACGTCCATGTCTGAGGCAGAAACAGCCCTGGTGGGAGCCACGTCTATGTTCCCTCCCACTTCCAAACCTGCCTGCAGGAACAGTACCCACAAAAGCTCAATTCTCCTTCATATATGTTGCTGATCAAACGGGTGAATGCTGAATTCCAACTGTGGCCTTGGGCAAGGCACTTCCTCCAATCTGTAAAGTGGGGGTGCTCATCTCTCCTTCTCTTAGTTCCAGAGGTTGCAGTAAGAAATAAGGCTGGGGTAGAGAAGGGACAATCCTCCCTGACCTAAGCAGGTGTCTCTGAGGCCTGACAGCTAATAGTGATTACACTGTGGCAGGCACAGAGCTGTGGAGGCTTTCTGTGCATTTTCTTTTCTTTTTTTTTTTTTTTTTTCCCTTTTTCGCCCCCCGCCACACCGCGCTCAGCCCGTGAGCGCTGTGAGCACACCGGTCATCCCTATATAGGATCCGAACCCGCGGCGGGAGCGCTGCTGCGCTCCCAGCGCCGCACTCTCCCGAGTGCGCCACAGGCTCGGCCCTTTCTGTGCATTTTCTTTTCTTTTTTTTTTTTTTTTTCCCTTTTTCGCCCCCCGCCACACCGCGCTCAGCCCGTGAGCGCTGTGAGCACACCGGTCATCCCTATATAGGATCCGAACCCGCGGCGGGAGCGCTGCTGCGCTCCCAGCGCCGCACTCTCCCGAGTGCGCCACAGGCTCGGCCCTTTCTGTGCATTTTCTTTTCTTTTTTTTTTTTTTTTTCCCTTTTTCGCCCCCCGCCACACCGCGCTCAGCCCGTGAGCGCTGTGAGCACACCGGTCATCCCTATATAGGATCCGAACCCGCGGCGGGAGCGCTGCTGCGCTCCCAGCGCCGCACTCTCCCGAGTGCGCCACAGGCTCGGCCCTTTCTGTGCATTTTCTTACAAACCCTATAGATGTAGGTGTAACTTACAGCTATTTTTAAAATGATGAAACCAGGGCTGGTCAATTAGTTCAGCGTAGTACAGTGTACAGCATAGTGCTGATAACACCAAGGCCAAGTGTTTGAATCCCCATACTGGCCAGCCACCAAAAAAAATAGAAAATAAGTAAATAAATCGATGAAACCAAAGCATAGAAAAATTAAAAAATTTATTGAAGATCACACATCAAGTAAATGACAGGGCTCTCATTTATACCCATGTAGTCTAATTATAAAACTTTAACTCTTTTGTTTTTAATTGGCTGAAGTGAGGTATATTTTCATTTTAATTTCCAATTGTTTGTGGTTAGGACATAGAAATGTTTGTTTCTAAGACACAGAAATACAAATATTTTTTATAAATTAACCTTGTATCCTATTACCTTGCTAAACTCTCTACAATTTTTTTGTTGTAGTAGCTATTTTTAAAAAAAAAAATAAATTCTTTAGATCTTTCTATGAGATCAGGGATGCTCCTTCTTTTCTGAAAGAAGTTGTGTAGAACTGGTAACATTTCTTTCTTAAATGTATGGTAGAATTCACAAGTGAAGCTGGCTGGGCCTGAAGCTTTCTTGCAGAGAGGTTTTTAACTATAACTTCAATTTCTTTCATAAATAGGGTCTACTGGGCTGTCTAGTTCAGTTGGTTAGTGTGGTGTTGATAACACCAAGGTCAAGGGTTCAGATCCCCCTTACCGGCCAGCTGCAAAAACAAATAATAGGGGTTAAGGTTATATATTTCTTCTTGTGCAAGTTTTAGCAGTTTGTGTCTTTCAAAATATTTCTCCATTTCACCTAAATTGTATAATTTATTGGCATAAAATTGTTTAAAATATTCTTGTATCAATCTGTAGGATCCATAGTGATGTGTATTCTTTCGTTCCTGATACTAGTAATTTGTGTCTTTTTTTCTCTTTTTTGTAAGTTTAACTGAAGGGTTATCATTTTATTCACCTTTCCAAAGAAATAGCCTTTGATTTCATTTATTTTCTCTATTATTTTTCTGTTTTCTATTACATTCATTTTCACTTTCCTTCTTCTCCTTACTGTGTGTTTAGTTTATTTTTCCCTCTCCTAATTTCTTAAGATGTGCTATGATTGAATTGTGTTCCCCCAAAACTCCTATAACCCCCAATGTGACTGTATCACATTGAGTCTTTAGAAGGTAATTAAGATTAAGCGAGGTCATAAAGGTAGGGCCCTAATCCAATAGCATTGTAGCCTTCTAAGAAGAGGAAGAGATCTCTCTCTCTCTCTTCCTGCCATGTGACAACACACTGAGAAGGCGGCAATCTGCAAGCCAGAAAGAGAGACCTCGCTAGAACCCAATCATACTGGTATCCTGATCTTGGACTTCCAGCCTCCACAACTGTGAGAAAATAAACTTCTGTTGTTTTGTCCACCCAATCGATGGTAATTTGTTATGGCAGCCTGAACTGACTAATACAAGGTGGAAGCTCAGATTATTGACTTGAGTCCTTTATTTGCTTCTAAAAATATATAAAACTGTTCTTTTCTAAAAAATCTAAGTATTTAACACTATGAATTTCTTCTAACCACTGCTTTTTTAAAAAAGCACACATTTTGATATGTTGTGCTTTCATTTTCATTCAGTTCAAAATATTTTCTAATATCTCTTGTGATTTCATCTTTAATCCTATTAGGCTATTTTGAAGTGTGTTTAATTTCCAAATGCTTTAGGATTTTCTAGATGTCAGTCATTTATTTCTAGTTCAATTCTACTCAGGTCAGAGAACATAGTTTGTATAGTTTTAATCTTTTTTTTTTTTTTTTTGGCAGCTGGGCAGTATGGGGATCCGAACCCTTGACCTTGGTGTTATAACACCATGCTCTAAACAACTGAGCCAACTGGCCAGCCCAATTTTAATCTTTTCAAATTGAGATTTGTTTTATGGCTCAGAATAAATATTACATATGTACTTAAATGTTACACATGTACTTAAAAGAATGCTGAAGCAAACTATAATTTTGACTTTATTTCTCCTTTCATTTCTATCAGTTTGTACTTCATGCATTTTGAAATTATAATTAGGTACATACACATTTAGAACTGTTTTCTCTTTTTTATGAATTCACCCATTTATCATTATGAAATGTCTCCATATTATCCTTAGTAACATTCCTTGTTTGAAAATTGTTCCATATTAATGAAACCACTTTAATTTCCCTTTGATTAGTGTTGGGATGGTTTATATTTTTCCATCCTTTTACTTTACACCTACCTATGTCTTTATACTTCGAGTGGATTTCTTGAAGAGTAATTTCAGTTTTGCCTTTAAAAAAATACAATCTGACATTCGTTGCCTTTTAACTGGAATGTGTAATTATCACTATGTTTGGTTTAAACCTACCATCTTTTCATTTCTTTTCGATTTGTTTCATGTGATCTCACTTTTTTTCTTCTTTTATTGCCCTTGGTTGAACTTAGTACTTTTATAATTCTGTTTTAACATATGATACATTGTTACCATTTTTGCCTTAGAGTGAATTAATTATCTTCTAAAGAGACAAAATATGAGATTTTACATCTCTAATACTCTTTATTCCTTTGTATAGATGCAAGTAGTCACCTGGTTTCATATTCCTTTGACCTAAAAAACCTCCCCTAATATTTCTTGTAGTGTAAGTCTACTGGCAATAAGGCCCCTCAACTTTGATTTGTCTGAAAAAGTATTTCAATTTCATTTTTGAAAGACATTTTTGCTGGTAACGGAATTCCAGGTTGACAGATATTTTCTTTCAGCACTTCATAGATGTCACTTTGGTCTTGCAGTTTTTGACAAGATGCTTACTATCATTCTTATCTTTGTTCCTCTTTATGTAATGTTTATTTTCCTGGCTTCCTTTAAGATTTTTTTCCTTATGTTTGGTTTTCAGCACTTTGACTATAATGTGCCTAAACGTGTTTTCTTTATATTCATCCTACTTGCTGTTTTCTGAGCTTCTTGGATCTGTGCTTGCTTTTTTCATTAATTTTTTTTTTTTTTTGGCCGGTAAGGGGATCGCAATCCTTGGCTTGGTGTCGTCTGCACCATGCTCAGCCAGTGAGCACACCGGCCATCCCTATATAGGACCCGAACCCACGGCCTCGGCGCTAACAGCATCGCACTCACCCAAAGGCTGGCCCCGTTCGTTAATTTTTTAACATACCATTTCTGACCCATGTTCCCTCTCTTTTCCTGGGACACCAATTACAAGTATGGTAGACGATATGATATTGTACTACAGCTCTCTAGGACAGTGTACTAAAACTTTTCTCTGCTTTTCTTTTATTTTCTTTCTTTTTTTTGGCAGTTGGCCAGTAAGGAGATCGAAACCCTTGACCTTGGTGTTATCAACGCCGTGCTATAACCAACTAAGCCAACTGGCCAGCCCTCTTTTTCTTTTGGCCAGTAAGGAGATCGAAACCCTTGACCTTGGTGTTATCAACGCCGTGCTATAACCAACTGAGCCAACTGGCCAGCCCTCTTTTTCTTTTATCTAATCTATCTATCTATCTATCTATCTATCTATCTATCTATCTATCTATCTATCTATCTTATCTTATCTTATCTATCGATTGATCAAAGATGACCAGTAAGGGGATCTTAACCCTTGACTTGGTGTTTTCAGCACCAGGCAGGCTCTCTCAAGTGAACCATGGGGCCCTTTTATTTTTCAATTTGAATAATTTCTATCAAACTACTGTGAAGTTCACTAATGTATTCTTCTACATGTCTAGTCTGCTGATAAGCCCAAGGAAGTGTTCATCATGTTTTTAATTTTCATCATTTCCATTTAACTCTTTATAGTTTCCACCTCTCTGCTGAAGAGATTGAAAGAATCTTTTCTGGAGACACTGACAAGCTCATGAGAAAAGTAATGGACACTCAGAGTCCCACAAATGTAAGAAGCCACCTATAGTGAGGCCCCCTGGTTGACAATCCTGCCCATAAACACAGAGATTCTAATCAGTTGTTTAATGTCTTATTGTAAAATATGAGCAGACACTGAAAGATCACTATTTGTTTGTTTGTTTGTTTGTTTTCCTTTTTTTGTCTTTTTTCGTGACCGGCAACGGATCACAACCCTCAGTGTCGCGCCCATACCGGACCGGGACCGGCAATGGGATCGCAACCCTCGGTGTTGCACCCGCA